AGCCACGAGCGCTACGGCGACGGCCATGGTAGCGGCCGCGGCAGCAGCGTGTGCTGGGGGGGCACGCGCGCCGCCATTCCCCCTCCCCCTCGGCCCATCCGAGACCTGGGCTACGGGAGACCGGCCCAGGTCTCAAAAAGGTTGCCTGTCCCTGGTCTAAACTAAACTTATGAGACTCTTGGGTTATCCTTTTAGTTTATTCCTGAATTAATGAGCCAAACCATGCAGACAATAATAAAAAATAGCCTCTTACTGGACTGGTGTATATATTACTGAGATGATATATGACAAGTGTTTCCAACTCCTTAAATACAATTATAAGTGATAATTTATTTAGATTTATTTGTTTTATTTATATCCCAATTTTTCTTCTGAAAGGGATTCAAAGCAGCTTACAACAGAAAGTAAAACAGAGCAGTTAGAACAGTATGAAGTACAAAAGGTTAAAAAGCATTAAATAGTACATTCAATTAAAACACTATTTTTGAAACATTAAAATTTAAAACACTTAAAATACACAATGCATCTTAAAACAGTACACCTGATTACTTATCACTCCACCCTGATCAGAGACTGAAGACCTGTTTTAAGAGAAGGTTTTTGCTTGCAGAGAAAAGACACTAGAATGGGAATAGCCTTGAGCAAGAGCTCCAAAGTTTAGGAGCCACCACCTATGACTATCTCATAATAAATATTATAGAGCTGCAAACAGCTTACATTTGCTCCCTTTGCCTAAGAAGGCTCATATAATTCAATAGATTTCTTTTCAAATGCAAGGAATCTAGAAGCAAAAGACCTTCAGTTTAACAAATGAATTAAGGCACTTGACAAACTCAATTTGTAAATTAAGGCACTCACCTCAATTTCCTCACTTAAATTGTAATCATATTTTGCTATTTTACACATAGCACTTACAATTTAGTCTCTATTACTACTCCTACCACTAAGTGAATTATATTATGCCTTTCACCCAAAATTGAGACTTTAGAACTGCTCTTCCTATATAATTATTGGGGTGGGTGTGTGAGAGAGAGGTAAAAGAAAATAATTTTTTAAAAATTGTTCATTACATTTGTATGGGGAGAGAAATGCTGTTATCCAGTATGCAACATTTAGCAGTAAAACTGAAACATTTGATGCACTCCAATGACGATGGTGAGACAAGCTGGTAAAATTTTCTATTCCATGCATACTTAATGAAACTTTTGGCTTCAAAAGTTTCTTGGCCTGTTGAAATCTGCTTCCCCTCCCCCTGCCTGATACTGTTCTTAAAAATTAATAGTAACTCACTTCTATCCCCTTTTTATGTCTAATTCCAAGGAAGCTGTTTCATTGCTAAACCAGTATCTGTTGTCAGTAATGGACTAGATGAGGGTGAACAAATTGAAACTTAATTCAGACTAGGCAGATCAGAGAATAAGGATTCATTCTTTGCTGTTTGGGGTTACAGGTAAAGGTAAAGGCATTCCCCGTTGACAAGGTTGTCAAGTCGTGTCCGACTGTAGGGGGTGATGCTCATCTCCGTTACTAAGCCGAAGAGCCATCGTTGTCAGAGACTACTCTATGATCATGTGGCCAGCATGACTGCACAGAACACTGTTTACCTTCCCACCAAAGTGGTACCTATTTATCTACTTGCATTTGCATGCTTTTGAACTGCTAGGTTGGCAGAAGCTGGAACTAGTGATGGGAGCTCACCCCATCATGCAGCGCTTGGTCCTCGAACTGCTGATTTTGCAATCAACAGTCAGCGTTTTAACCACTGAGCCACTGTGTCCACAGGCTTGCAGCCTAGGTGTACTCATAGACCCAACCCTGATCCTGGATGTCAAGGTTCCTCTGGAGCCAGGAGTCTATTTGCATAGTTAAAACTAGTGCACAAGCTGCTCCTGGAGACATCAGATCTAGCTATGGTGATACATGCCTTAACTATGGGCCTTTGCAGACTGTCAGAAATAGTGCAAATTTAAGGGTTAAGGTTAGGGAATCATGGGAACTGTATATTATTGTGGCACCAGAGCTCTCTGACAGAGAAGGCTCAATGTCTCAGAAAAAAAACACAATTCCCATGATTCCCTAGCACTAACCCTAAAAGTGGACTCAATTTGCACTATCGCTGGCACTCTGCAAAGGCCCTATATCTCACTGGATTACTGAAATGATACCATGTGGGCTTGCCCTTGGAAATTTATATTGTGGCCACTATGTTGACAGACTGTGGTTATAGGTGCCATACCATTCACTTGTTATGTCTTGAAACAGACTCACTGGTTACTAGTGTGTTTCCAAGGAACAAATCCAAAGTACTGGTCATGACCTCTGAAGACCTACATGGCTTGGGTCTATCTAGATTATTTGAAAGGTCATGTCTCCCTTACCTGAGCCATAAAATTGCCAGGGAAAGGCTTTTTCTTGGTCCCACAATAGTCACAGGCCCAGAGTCTGTTCCATGGGTGTGGAATTATCACTGCCTCCCACTCTGGTCTCCTTCTGGCAGCAAGTAAAGAGAAAGACCTTTTTATTTAAATAAGCATTTGACATTTAGCTGTCTGTGCAGAAAAATCTTGTACGGGGTGGATGTCCTATGCTTTTGCACTTATTGTTATGTCATTCAAAATACTTTAAACTGTTTCAATTTATTGCTGTTTTAATAAACGTTTATTTGCTTATAAAAAACTTTGTATCATTAAGATTTCAGCTATAAATTTGTTTTTAATTTATGCTGTAAGCTGTTTTGGATCCCAAGTTTGGAGAACAGTAGGATATAAATGAAATAAATTTATAAATTTAAGAGTGGAGAATGAATACATTTAAAATGAGGACATGGAGCCTTTCTGGTCACTTCTAATAGGTTTTCTCCTCTTTTCTGAAAAGCTTTGTGAAAAATAATCTCTTAAAAGTTAGGAATCTCTAACTCGGGTAGGCAAAATGTTTGAGCCGGAGGCCGGGTTGCTGTCCCTCAGACAATTGGGGGGCCGAAGCACCAAAAATAAATAAAAATAAAAATATTTTTTAAAAATAAAAATAAATAAATAAATAAATATGCATGCACACTCTCTCAGCCCCAGAAATCCCTGTGGAGATTTTGCCAAGAAAACCCAAAGAACAAGTAATAACAACAGTAATCAATATCATCATGGTGGTCCAAAGGCCTCAGGGGGCTGCATCTGGCCCCCGGGCCTTAGGTTGCCTACCCCTGCTCTAACTGTTGCACCTTGAAACAAACCCAGACAGAATGGCTGCAACTTAAACTAATTTAACACTTACTCTCTGAATAGGCAGGCAATGTCAAGTGATGATGAAAAGAAAGCAGTGTATTGATATCTTCTGTGAGCTGTTACTGGGTCTGTGACTAGCGCTGCTGGAGAGGCTGACACCTGGAATTATTCTAGAAGATGGTACTGAAAGTTATATGACAGGAGAACACTTATTCCTAGGGCTTCCAGGCCAGCCTTCTTCTATATAACCTGAAATAGGGAGTGGGAGGAGGCTCATAGGGATATGCCTTTCTGATTCCCATCAACTCCTGTGGAGGCATTTAGAGTTTAATCTCATGAAAGTTGCCACGCAACTGGTCTATGGTTGGTTAAATTGAGCCATTCCTGATGTATGTTTTTAAAAATTGGCATGAAAAGGAATATCGGCCAGGATTCTACATGCCACTTGTGGACTGTAAGGTTCTGTGAATGCAGTTCCACATCCCCACTTTCAAACTCTGCAATGGACATTTTGCAGAGTGAGGTGTCTGGGCAGCACTTCTGCTACTGGGAGGAAAGATCCAGTATCACCCAAACACCTCCTGTCCTCCCCTCAGCACAAAATGCCCACGACAGTGCATTCTGGAGTTGCCTTCCAAGGGATGGAAGGGTGTTGTAGAAATTGAACTGTGAGCTTAACTCCACAGCTCCTGGGTCCTTTAGCAGAGCCAAATTAAAGAAGGAAGACCACTGATGAGATACAAACAGGATTTATTTATTCATGTGCACAGTCCCAGGAGAAACTCGTGTTTCCAAGCCTG